TACCTATTCCCATGGGAGACATTAGTTACAGACTCCCACGATAGGGAGCCAAGGCTGGGTCACCGACTGGTAAAGACCCGGGTTGGCAGTACCAGCGACTCAAGGTGTATTTAAAAATTATTATTATTAGGCAAGCAGTCGTATGTATGTCATTTAGATGTGCTAAGACCTTGTACACATAAACATTATTTCAAGTTTACTCTCAGCATTGTGTTTCCACTGATGATAATATATGTGCATCAAGTACATATAATGTACTGCTACATGCAGTATATTTTCAGTAATAGAAATGAAATAAAATTTTCTTGTAAATTACATACTGTAATGTACATGTAACTGAGTAATGAAGAAACCACTGCACATTAATAATTATTTCTAATTTATTGCTTGTAAGATTTTAGGAAAACACTGATTCTATTGTATCAAAACTTCTTCGTTAGTTTTTATTATTAAAGATAACATTTGTAATTAGCTTGAATAAGATGCTACAGTGCATTCCATGATTAAATACATGATCTATATAGAATTAAAAATTGATGAAATATGAAAGAAGAGTAGTTATTAGTTATCTTGACAATTGAGCTCATTACAAAATGGAGACAAAGATTAAGCAGGATACAGCTATACATTTTTTGTTGTTCAGATGTTTTGAAAACTTCCTTAGTTAGAGTTTTAGACTAGTATGAGCTTAAGCATAGTTTTTTTTATTTTTATGTTAATACAAGATTTGTAACTTTAATATGCAGTAGATATAAGGCCATATGAAGGAATTTGGGATTTGATTGTGCAATAGTGTGTTCAGTGTGTAGTTGCTACCAAAATTATTTGATTATTTTGGTTCATATAAGCTCTTTAATGTGTTTGACACATTTGCCAGAGATGCCTCATTATTATGTTTCAAGTGTGTAGTGAGGATACAATCATTTAATAATAATGTGATGCTATGTAAGTTATCGTAACATGCTTTCTCAAGCTATGAAAATGCAGAAGAGTAATATTTCCAGTGTGGCTGTACTGTACTACCAATTTTACAAATGATGTATCAGGGATTTAAGATTTAGTATATAATTCTTGTATGATCATTCAGAAGCAAGTTATAATGTTGAGTGACATCAGTCTTAGCTTCTTGTAATTATGATGACATGTCATCAAAAAAAGTTACATGCATGTACATGCACATGGGGCCATGAGCTTAGACTCAACCCTTGCAACCATATACTATAGGCAAGTACACACATACTATAGGTACATAATCATAGATGTACTATAGAATATTTAGTAAAGATTTACTGAACCATAAGAATTTTCTATTTTGTGGAATATGGAATTTCCAGTTTTTTACAGTCACCCCCACATCACAGACATTAATGCTACACAATTTTATCCTTAGGAAATTTGGAAATTAAGTTTATAGGTTTTGGATACTGCACGATAATTTGATTGAGGAAATGAGCAAGTTATCCTAGAGCACATTTACTCAGTTTGCAAGTGTATGTATTGTACTATCTGTTTTGCAAGAATAATCTGTCAACTTGTTTTGGCTACTGTATTGGAGGCTTTCCCAGATTATATATTTTTAGTGAAAATTGTGGTGTGTTATCTGTGTTCAGGTTGTCTGGAAAGAGGCCAGCAAGCATTAGCAATACATCTGTGTTTTCTCAGCTCTTAAGTTGACCTTTGCTATGCCAAAAATGAGCCCCAAGTTATACCTCTCAACTCATGGCCAAGATATTACAAAAATATTGTTTGCAAAAATATAATACAAACTGTGTAATGTGTGACAATGCACTAGAATATTACTTTTACTTTATAGTTTAGATATACCCAAATTTTATGTTTAGTAGAGCTTTGTATATTATTTTATAAATTCCTGTTAGAAAGGTTTATTTCATTAAATTTATTAGATTCAAACACTATTCATTTACTAAATGATTAACATATTTATATTTTTTAAATAAAAGTTTTAAAACAAGAAATACCTTTTATTGAGCACCAACACAAAAGAGTTTATTACAATATTTTGTCAGTTTTTGGAGTAAGATTTGCCTGTGTGTGGCTTCTGATACAAGCATACCATAATTGATACTCATGGTTGGCAATGCTCTTGCCTCACATACTGAGTGTCCCTGGTTTAATCCCCAACACATGTAGAAAGACTGGCCATGTTTCCTTACACCTGCTGTCCCTCTTCAATGCTTAGTTCTGATTGTAACAGTAATAAGTGATTCATAATGCTGTATAACAGCAGTAGCACTACCAGCTGTGGAAAATATTTTAATTTTCCAAAGCTATAGTGCCCAATAGGTGTTCAGTGTGTTGATATGGGTCAAAAATGTATTTGAAAATGGAATAGAACCAACAGGGAAGCTCTGCGCCTGCGCTGATGGGCAGGGGGGAGGTCGAGACCGGGCATCAGGGAACGGGAGTGTTTTGAATGGAGTTCAGAGGCTGGGAAAGCATGGGACCAGGAAATTGGCATTCACGGCAGCCTAAGAATTAATATAGGCCTCACTTCATAATACGAAGTGTCGTAACTGTTCCTGGTGAAGAGTGAGGGAACGTGACTCACGGGACCGCTGTAATAAGTGGTAAAATGTGTGAATAATGGTAGATGCCATGGAGTGTGTTCAGGGGAAAATACCCATGATTTAATCATCACTCATTGGTCTCAGATCTTAATGGAGTGACCTCTAATGTGCATAATAATTATGAGACATTAAATCGTCTTGTGAATTGTAATGCAATCGGTGATAATAACAATAAGTTAAGAGAATGTTGAAGGGAAATAAGTTGCTGTTCTCCAAGTGAATACGTGTAGACCTCATGGTTCCTGTCCCGAGGATAGTGAAGTTTTTATGGAGTCACAACTTCTAAACTGGGACAAACCAACGGATACCTCGTCCTGCTGGAATAAGAACCGTGTCGGTGTAACAGGACATTGAAATGAGATGGTGAATGGAGGAAATAAGGAGCATCAATCACCCACAGTTAAGTAACCCTTCTAGTTATAGCAAACTGAAACTGGCCAGTTAGGTATGTTGTAATTGGACAGGTTGTGGGTGATCCAGCTTCATCAAGTGACCACCAGAGAATATCTGGTAAGTGGTGGTATTATATACAAGTGTTTTTCCTTGATGGATATATCCATGTGTAACCTACCCCCCCCCCCATACATTCTGTTAAACTAATATAATCTATACAGTCCACAATTAGTAGCGCCGTACTTGTAGGTGCTATCCAATTCATACAGGTCTCGGATAGATATGGGTAAGATTGTGAGGTCAAAGGAGCCACCTGCAGTGACCAGGGGTGGCTAAGTTTTCTCACATGTCTACACGGGGTGACTACGGTAAACAATATGGTTGTTGTCTCCCAATGAGATTACTTGTTTGCATGTAATGTTGAGGTACATACTGGTAACCCCTATAAAATTTTCCATACCAGCTGCACAAGATGACTGATGAATAGAAATGGAAATAAGTCACTCTGTCTGACTTTTTTGGGTTATCCTAGGTTCTCTACACATATGCTGCTATGTATGATAATTCTATGTAACTGTATTTGTGTATACCTGAATAAACTTACTTACTTACTTACTAAACCATCAACATGTATAATTTATGAGAGTGTTATATGGTTAAGACATCATTCTTGGCTTGAAGGTGGATCTTTAGTTGTGATTTAATTTTTGGGGGAAGGGGAAGTGTGTTTCTTTATCTTGTGTTCGTATACTACATGTATTTTAGTGATGGAGGTTGCATCAACAGGCTATGGAGACATAATTAAATGTGAACTTTGCCAGATGGATTATTGCCACACTCAACATGTTCACCTTCCCCCCCTCCCTCTGAATTAATATAATAATAGTAGTAATTATGTCGGATGGGAGTGGTACAGCTGATAACGCACTGGCCTGCCGGTATTAGGATTGGTCATAGGTTTGAACCTCTCCTGTCTGTGAATAATAATAATGATAAATAAATGAAAAAAAGGTTCGATTCATTGCAGGCCTCAGACCATTGTTTAAATAATTAAATTGATAAATTTATTCAGGTAAAATTACACAATTTTTGGACGGTTACAATTGTTTCACATAATAACATGTGCAGATTACCGAGAATTAAGTAAATAAGTAAGTTAATTTAGGTACAGGTACACATAAGTACAATTATGTGTAAATTACCGAGGATAACCCAAAAGAAGTGACTTATTCCATCTAGGTCCTTAAGTTTATTTAGGCACATGTACACACATGTATAATTGTCATACATAGTGTAACTTACCTAGGATAACAGGTACACATACGTACAGTTATCATACACAGTGTAAATTACCTGGGATAACCCCCCCCCCCCAAAAAAAAAAAAATCTTGACTGATTGATTATTATTATAATCAAGGGGGAAGCGCTAAACCCGGAGGATTATACAGCGCCTGGGGGGGGGATGTGGAAGGCATTCAGGCTTAATTCGGGGAACTGGAGCACAGATCTAATTCCCTAAATCAAGAGCCCCTCACCAACATCAAGGAACCGGTCCGGTGGCCTGGTGGCTAAAAGCTCCCGCTTCACACACGGAGGGCCCGGGTTCGATTCCCGGCGGGTGGAAACATTCGACACGTTTCCTTACACCTGTTGTCCTGTTCACCTAGCAGCAAATAGGTACCTGGGTGTTAGTCGACTGGTGTGGGTCGCATCCTGGGGGACAAGATTAAGGACCCCAATGGAAATAAGTTAGACAGTCCTCGATGACGCACTGACTTTCTTGGGTTATCCTGGGTGGCTAACCCTCCGGGGTTAAAAATCCGAACGAAATCTTATCTTATCTTATCTTCCTTGAGGGGCTTGACTGATTGAAGGTGACTTATTTCCATTGGGGTCCTTGAATAAAAAAAATCAGAGGTAGAGTATATTTAGCATTAGGGGGTCATAATTCTTATCATATTTATAATGATTTTTTTTTAATTTTACAGATACATTTAAAAGTTTTCTCAACACAATTATATATGTGGAATATATATAATTAGGTCGGTAATGTCTGTAAGAAGCTCAGCTGATGAGTGTAAACATGGCGGCTGTGGTGGTAGTGAGAGCTAGACGCTGCTCTCCATCCATTAAAACTCTCCTCCACACTTATAGAAATGTAAGTAATGTGTTACCTACATTAAAATTATGTGCAAAGAATAACAGGTGCAAGAAAGAAAAAGTGACGAAGTGTATCTTGAGCTGTAGCTCAGCTGGTACGATGTATATTTTTGGTAACCGGCAATAAATAATAATCAGGCAAGCGCCGTACCCGCAAGAGTCACTTAGCCTCTGGGGGTATGGGTGGATCTTTGATGAGTTCTGCAACAGAGCACACAGGCACAACATAAAACACAAAACTTCGATATCCCCCGTGTCACACCCTATGCAAAAACGCAATGCACATAAAAAGGCTGTAAGATCTGGAATTCATTGCCCGAACCAGCAAAAGGCCCTCTGTCTGCCAATCAATTTAGAGTTTTTAAAAAATTGCCTAATCTTCCTAATGTAACTAGACCAACACTATGCTGTACCAAACGGTGCAATGTGGCCTGGTGGCAAAGTTCTCGCTTTGCACGGTGAGAGTCTGAGTTCAGTTCCCAGCAAAAGAGGGGAAACGGGCATGTTTCCTTTCACTGGTTATCCATGTTTACCCGTCAGTAATAATGGGTACCTGGGTGTCAGTTGACTGGTGTGGGTCGCATCCTGGGACAAAATTGACCTAATTTTCCTGAAATGCTCTGCGTAACAAGCAGCTTTCTATGTAGTAGTATGTCATTGATGTCAGCTAAGTCTGTACATCTTGTACATGTAGAAATGAAGATATTATTAGTATTATTATTATTACCCCTCAAGGAAAGTTCCTTGATGTTGGTGAGGGGCTCTTGATCTAGGGAATTGGATCTTTGCTCCAGTTCCCTGAATTAAGCCTGAATACCTTCCACATCCCCTCACACGGGTTTAGCACTCCCAGTGGCTTATTATAATAATTATTATTAAACAAAATCAGTTCGTCCAACTCTATCCCATTATAATTCTACAGAAACCTAATAAACTTCCTGTTTCTTCACCATCTCTTACAATCATTCCATAGCTTGAAGACATAAAGCCAGTTTGAAACTGCTTAAGAAATCCCGGTTAACTTAAGATCACTGAATCAGTTTAAAATATTATTTTTTTTTTTTAACAAGTTGGCCGTCTCCCACCAAGGCAGGGTGACCCAAAAAGAAAGAAAATCCTCAAAAAGAAAATACTTTCATCATCATTCAACTCTTTCACCTCACTCACACATAATCACTGTTTTTGCAGAGGTGCTCAGAACACAAAAGCTTAGAAGCATATACGAATAAAGATACACAACATATCCCTCCAAACCGTCAATCTCCCGAACCCCTCCTTTAGAGTGCAGGCATTGTACTTCCCATTTCCAGGACTCAAGTCCGGCTATATAAAAATAACCAGTTTCCCTGAATCCCTTCACTAAATATTACCCTGCTCACACTCCAACAGATCGTCAGGTCCCAAATACCATTTGTTTCCATTCACTCCTATCGAACACGCTCACGCACGCCTGCTGGAAGTCCAAGCCCCTAGCCCACAAAACCTCCCTTACCTCTTCCAACCTTTTCAAGGACGACCCCTACCCCACCTTCCTTTCCCTACAGATTTAAATGCTCTCCATGTCATTCTACTTTGATCCATTCTCTCTAAATGACCAAACCACCTCAACAACCCCTCTTGAGCCCTCTGACTAATACTTTTAATAACTCCACACTTTCTCCTAATTTCTACCCTCCGAATTTTCTGCATAATATTTACACCACACATTGCCCTTAGACAGGACATCTCCGCTGCCTCCAACCGCCTCCTCGCTGCTGCATTCACAACCCAAGCTTCACACCCATATAAGAGTGTTGGTACTACTATACTTTCATACATTCCCTTCTTTGCCTCCATAGATAATGTTTTTTGTCTCCACATATACCTCAATGCACCACTCACCTTTTTTCCCTCATCAATTCTATGATTAACCTCATCCTTCATAAATCCATCCACCGACACGTCAACTCCTAAGTATGTATCTGAAAACATTCATTTCTTCCATACTCCTCCTACCCAATTTGATATCCAATTTTTCTTTTATCTAAATCATTTGATACCCTCATCACCTTACTCTTTTTTATGTTCACTTTCAACTTTCTACCTTTACACACACTCCCAAAGTCGTCCACTAACCTTTGCAATTTTTCTTTATAATCTCCCATAAGCACAGTATCATCAGCAAAAAGCAACTGTGTCAATTCCCATTTTGTATTTGATTCCCCATAATTTAATCCCACCCCTCTCCCGAACACCCTAGCATTTACTTCTTTTACAATCACATCTATAAATATATTAAACAACCATGGTGACATTACACATCCCTGTCTAAGACCTACTTTTACTGGAAAGTAGTCTCCCTCTCTTCTACACACCCTAACCTGAGCCTCACTATCCTCATAAAAGCTCTTTACAGCATTTAGTAACTTACCACCTATTCCATATAGTACTTGCAACATCTGCCACATTGCTCTGTCTTACCTCTAATTCTTTCAATTATAACCCTACCGTACACTTTTCCTGGTATACTCAGTCAACTTATTCCTCTATAATTTTTACAATCTCTTTTGTCCCCTTTCCCTTTATATAAAGGGACTATACATGCTCTCTGCCAATCTCTAGGTACCTTCCCCTCTTTCATACATTTATTAAACAAAAATACCAACCACTCCAACACTATATTCCCCCCTGCTTTTAACATTTCTGTCATGATCCCGTCAGTTCCAGCTGCTTTAACCACTTTCATTTTACGTAATGCCTCGCGCACCTCCCCCACACTCACATCCTGTTCTTCTTCACTCCTAAAGGATGGTATACCTCCCTGTCCAGTGCATGAAATTACCGCCTCCCTTTCTTCGTCGACATTTAAAAGTTCCTCAAAATATTCTCACCAACTACCCAAAAACCTCCATCTCCCCATCTACTAACTCCCCTACTCTGTTTTTAACTGACAAATCCATACTTTCCCTATGCTTTCTTAACTTGTTTAACTCACTCCAAATTTTTTTCTTATTTTCATTAAAATTTCTTAACAGTGCCTCTCCCACTCTATCATCTGCTCTCTTTTGCACTCTCTCACCACTCTCTTCACCTTTCTTTTACTCTCCATATACCCTACACTTCTTATAACACTTCTGCTTTGTAAAAACCTCTCATAAGCTAACTTTTTCTCTTTTATCACAACCTTTACTTCATCATTCCACCAATCACCCCTCTTTCCTCCTGCACCCACCCTCCTATGACCACAAACTTCTGCCCCACATTCTAATACTGCATTTTTTAAATTATTCCAACCCTCTTCAACCCCCCCACTGCTCATACTTGCACCAGTCCACCTTTCTGCCAATAGTTGCTTATATCTCACCCGAACTTCCTCTTCTCTTAGTTTATACACTCTCACCTCCCACTTACTTGTTGTTGCCATTTTCCTCTTTTCCAATCTACCTCTTACTCTAACTGTAGCTACAACTTAATAATGATCTGATATGTCAGTTGCCCCTCTTTAAACGTGTACATCCTGGAGCCTACCCATCAACCTTTTATCCACCAATACATAATCTAACAAACTACTTTCATTACGTGCTATATCATACCTTGTATATTTATTTATCCTCTACTTCATAAAATATGTATTACTTATTATTAAACCTCTTTCTACACATAGCTCAATTAAAGGCTCCCCATTTTCATTTACCCCTGGCATCCAAATTTACCTACTACTCCCTCCTCAACATTTTTGCCCACTTTAGCATTGAAATCCCCAGCCACCATTACTCTCACACTTGGTTCAAAACTCCCCACACATTCACTCAACATTTCCCAAAATCTCTCTCTCTCTCCTCTACACTTCTCTCTTCTCCAGGTGCATATACGCTTACTATAACCCACTTTTCACATCCAATCTTTATTTTACTCCACATAATCCTTGAATTAATACATTTATAGTCCCTCTTTTCCTGCCATAACTTATCCTTCAACATTATTGCTACTCCTTCTCTAACTCTATTTGAAACCCCTGACCTAATCCCATTGATTCCTCTCCACTGAAGCTCTCCTACCCCCTTCATCTTTGTTTCACTTAAAGCCAGGACATCCAGCTTCTTCTCATTCATAACATCCACAATCATCTCTTTCTTATCATTTGCACAACATCCACACACATTCAGACTTCCCACTTTGACAATTTTCTTCTTATTCTTTTTAGTAATTATTACAGGAAAAGGGGTTACTAGCCCATTGTTCCCGGCATTTTAGTTGACTTTTACAACACGCATGGCTTACGGAGGAAAGATTCTTATTCCACTTCCCCATGGATATAAAAGGAAAAGTAATAAGACCAAGAACTATTAAGATAAAATCAAAGAAAACTCAGATGAGTGTATATAAATAAACATGTACATGTATGTGTAGTGTGACCTAAGTGTAAGCAGAAGTAGCAAGACGTACCTGAAATCTTGCATGTTTATGAGACAGAAAAAAGATACCAGCAATCCTACCATCATGTAAAACAATTACAGGTTTCCATTTTACACTCACTTGGCAGGAGAGTAGTACCTCCCTGGGTGGTTGCTGTCTACCAACCTACTACTATTAAAGTATTATTATTATTATTATTATTATTATTATTATTATTATTATTATTATTATTATTATTATTATTATTATTATTATTATTATTATTATTATTATTATCACACTGGCCGATTCCCACCAAGGCAGGGTGGCCCGAAAAAGAAAAACTTTCACCATCATTCACTCCATCACTGTCTTGCCAGAAGGGTGCTTTACACTACAGTTTTTAAACTGCAACATTAACACCCCTCCTTCAGAGTGCAGGCACTGTACTTTCCCATCTCCAGGACTCGAGTCCGGCCTGCCGGTTTCCCTGAACCCCTTCATAAATGTTACTTTGCTCACACTCCAACAGCACGTCAAGTATTAAAAACCATTTGTCTCCATTCACTCCTATCAAACACGCTCACGCATGCCTGCTGGAAGTCCAAGCCCCTCGCACACAAAACCTCCTTTACCCCCTCCCTCCAACCTTTCCTAGGCCGACCCCTACCCCGCCTTCCTTCCACTACAGACTGATACACTCTTGAAGTTATTCTGTTTCGCTCCATTCTCTCCACATGTCCGAACCACCTCAACAACCCTTCCTCAGCCCTCTGGACAACAGTTTTGGTAATCCCGCACCTCCTCCTAACTTCCAAACTACGAATTCTCTGCATTATATTCACACCACACATTGCTCTCAGACATGACATCTCCACTGCCTCCAGCCTTCTCCTAGCTGCAACATTCATCACCCATGCTTCACACCCATATAAGAGCATTGGTAAAACTATACTCTCATACATTCCCCTCTTTGCCTCCAAGGACAAAGTTCTTTGTCTCCACAGACTCCTAAGTGCACCACTCACCCTTTTCCCCTCATCAATTCTACGATTCACCTCATCTTTCATAGACCCATCCGCTGACACGTCCACTCCCAAATATCTGAATACATTCACCTCCTCCATACTCTCTCCCTCCAATCTGATATCCAAACTTTCATCACCTAATCTTTTTGTTATCCTCATAACCTTACTCTTTCCTGTATTCACTTTCAATTTTCTTCTTTTGCACACCCTACCAAATTCATCCACCAATCTCTGCAACTTCTCTTCAGAATCTCCCAAGAGCACAGTGTCATCAGCAAAGAGCAACTGTGACAACTCCCACTTTATGTGTGATTCTTTATCTTTTAACTCCACGCCTCTTGCCAAGACCCTCGCATTTACTTTCTCTTACAACCCCATCTATAAATATATTAAACAACCACGGTGACATCACACATCCTTGTCTAAGGCCTACTTTTACTGGGAAATAATTTCCCTCTTTCCTACATACTGTAACTTGAGCCTCACTATCCTCGTAAAAACTCTTCACTGCTTTCAGTAACCTACCTCCTACACCATACACCTGCAACATCTGCCACATTGCCCCCCTATCCACCCTGTCATACGCCTTTTCCAAATCCATAAATGCCACAAAGACCTCTTTAGCCTTATCTAAATACTGTTCACTTATATGTTTCACTGCAAACACCTGGTTCACACACCCCCTACCTTTCCTAAAGCCTCCTTGTTCATCTGCTATCCTGTTCTCCGTCTTACTCTTAATTCTTTCAATAATAACTCTACCATACACTTTGCATACTTAATATTGTGCTATTGTTCACTTAGCTACCTCACTTTTTTTATACATTATAAACAAAAACCCACTCAATAACCTAGTTTAAGCATTAGGATTAATCTACCTGAAATGCACTGAATGCTAGTGGCTTAGCAATACAGCCTCTCTTCACTTAACAACGGAGTTCCGTTCCTAATACCACGTCAATAAACGAATTCATCGCTAAACAAGGAGCATACTATAATGGTAGTGGGTTTATGTCAACCATCTTTGATATTGCTTTAATGTCACCTTTGCACCAATTATAACATTTTTAGTATATTTTTAAATGTTTTTACAGTAGTGTACAGTATATTGTAATAAACAGACTAGAGGAAATCAGCTCTAATATACGTACATTATATAGGTATGCATACTGGTCAGAGAGCCTGTCGTAAGTCCGAGTCATCGGTAAACGAGTACATCGCCAAGTAAGGAGAAGCTATATTTTATTACGTGTAAACTACATTTTGTATACCACAAAGAAATTACCACCATTACTTCTACTACTACCTCTTGTTTTCCTGGCTCTGCCCCCCTTCTCATATATACAGTATATACTGGCTCCCTTTCCTTCATGCTTCTGTGTGACTAGTTAATGATCCAAGTTGGACCAAAACATTGTCAAGTTTCTTTCTCCTATCTGTGGGTTATTGGTCTATTGTTCGAGTCACAGTATTGTGCCATTTTATTCCTCGTTTTAATCATGCTTGATATAAGTAAAGGTAGGTGAGGGTAGCTCCAATTTCTTGAACCAAAAACCCATCACTGTCATTAATTTTCTGGCACCTTTTGTTCCTAGGCTTTGTCTACATATCAATTTTGCTAGACCAACAGAGGTCACATAATAATAATAATTCAACCATACACCTCTGTGTGATAAATGGTTTAGAAAACTGACAAATTGAAAAATTAGACAGGCAACATTTGGGAATCTTTACGGAGGAAATGTTTGGCCACACAGTGGCTTCGTCAGTCCAGTGCAAAGAAGAACGGTTACCTCAGACTCCTCCTCCTCTCTAATAATAATTTAATATCTTTATTTCTACAAGTACATGTACAAGGTATACAGGCCTAGCTGACATCGGTGACATACTACTACGTAGAAAACCGCTTATTATGCAGAGCATTTCGGGCAAATTAGGTCAATTTTGTCCCAAGATGCGACCCATACCAGTCTACTAAGATAAGATAAGATACTAACACCCAGGTACCCATTTTACTGATGGGGAACATAGACAACCAGTGTAAGGAAACACCCCCAATGCTGCTCATTTACAGGGGCCACTAGGCTCATCACATACATCTAAGTGACATACTGATGTGTGTTGTCTTTTGAGGTCACTGAAGGAAAGTGAGCTTCATACAGCATCCTTTACCTCAGCATCTGCCCGTTCATTACATGGGAAGTGGTAATAGATGGCAGGGCTTGAGTTAGTAACTTTTTAATGCCAAGTAGTGGCTTTGTCAAGTTTATCAAAACAAAGATATTGCTGACTTTATTCCCAATGTTTGGACATAGTATATTAAATTTTGTGTATTGAGAAGCATGTTTAATTTAATGTAATATTTCTCTTGTTGGATAATGTTATCATTTCTGGACATAAATATTGTAGATTTTATTTGGGCAATTAACAGGGAGGGTTATTAACCCAGAATAACATAAGGAAACTACTCAGAATTCCATTGAAATGGGATTCTGTTGTTATTTGGGTTATTGATTGAGAGCATTAGTAAATTAGGACAACCAAAGAAAGCCAAAGGACCCCATTTCCATTGTGATTCTTTGATCCTCTTCCCCAAGATGGGACCCACAATAGTCAGCAAACACTCAAGTGCTGTACCTACCCACTGCTACATGAGCAGGGGCATCAGGTTTCAGGAAACATACTTGGTGTTTCTACACATGCCAGAATTGAGCCTGTGTCCTTCGGGTGTTAGCTGATAGCACTAGAACTTGAGCTAAGAGCCACCTTAACTTAAGCTACTAAAGAATGGTGCAAACAAGTTGATATGAATTATACTGTATTCTAGTTCCTACTTTATATATTTGTTATTAAGAAGTTTGGTATGCATCTAGCTTTTTTTTTTTTTAACAAATTAGTCACTTAATATTTTATAATAATTTTATTTAATTTTGTAAATATGCTGCTTGTTAATGATATATAAGAAGCTGAAAGCTGATCAATATCACACAGCAATTTCATGCAATCTTAGACTGGGGAGGAGAGTAGTGGAGGGAATTTATGAATTTCACTAATGAAGCATATTTTACCCCATTTTTTCTGAGTTCAGTACTTATCACTGAGTAACTTTTTTTATTAATGTTCATTTGCAGAGCTTAATTTTGTTCCTGCTATAACTTTGTGTGATGGCAAAATAATTTACTATAAATCAAATTTCTTCATAACTTTAAAACTCTTGAAGAAGATCATATAATATGCTGTAATTGCAAAACCACTATAATAAATTGTACTTTTCCAGGGACATAAAAGTCGACATGTGTTGGGAGCAAGATTTTGTTCCATATACACTACAGATCCCATCGATCCAAAAGAAGCCACTTTTGAGAAAATTATGATAGCTAATCGAGGAGAGATTGCATGCAGAGTAATTAAGACTGCCAAGAAGATGGGAATCAAGACAGTGTCTATTCATTCTGATGTTGACTCTAATGCTGTAAGTCTGGTCTCTACTTGCACTTCAGGGAGAGAGAGAGTTAGGGATGCACTCAATGACTAAGCTTTTTTTTTTTTTTTCTGAAAAATATAATTATGGTGTCATTGTACTCATTAATCATTGTGGCATTCCTGATATAAAAAATTTTAATGTGATAGTTAACAAAATGTTGTAGTGAGGAGGAAGCTGAAGGCAGTGGAGATGTTTGGTGTGAAGTGATATCCTTCAAGTAGATCCCTCTCTGTTACATTCCAGAGGTTCTCAGTGGGTTCAGGTCTGGGGACTTGGCTTGCCAGTCATTGAAAAAAGGGTACCTCACAGTCATGAATTAATTGAACAACAGATTTTGTGGTGTGGCAAGGAGCACTGTCTTGTATAAAAATCTTTGCTCCACACTGTGTGAATGATTCAGACAGATGATGGTGCCAGTTCTAAGTACGTTATTACAGTTAACGTTAACAGGTGCAGGACAGAATCTCCTGTGGGACAGAATCCCTACAGAACAGGACCCACTTAAGCAGAAGACAGGAAAGGTGAAAGAGTTGAAAAGTGGAGACAAGGGTTAGGTCAAGTCATGAGTGTTTTGAAGTTTAGAGCATTAGACAACGTAATGTGAAAGGAGGACATCCAGAGAGACGAAACCAGGACTAAGGTTCTTGTTGACAGTGTTATGTATAAGGGAAGCTTCAACAAGATGGTGTCCATGAATAGACATTTTTTGCAGAGGGTTAGTTAATAGGATGACTGTGATCTATGACATGATAGAAAAGTTTTCTAGTGTCAGCAAGGCTAACACTTATGTGCCCTCTGTCTGTCAGGAAAAAAGTGGCCAGTATCTCCAAAGTATTGGAGATGACATGAGTAGCGTTGACTACGACAACTACTACTACTGACCCATCTCTTTGGGTAGGACCTACTTCCACTGGGGAATCCTGCTTACCAGTGACTATGCCCTCGTCTGCTACACGCCCCCTTTCCACCTGACGTTAGTATATAAGTGCTAGGCTCCTTGCTTCTGCTTCAGAATCTCCATGACTGTGGTGCTCTTCGCACCAACTCCAAGGTTGAGGGACTGATTACTTCGTCTTCTGTATATAGTTCTACTGTCTTCAAGTTATGTCCTGGAATTTGTATTGATAAAGCCACTGGATGGCGAAACGTCTACAATAAAGATACCCAGATGTTGCACATACGTCTTAATTTCATCAAGACATGAGTAGCAGGAAATGGGTAGGAGGAAGAATTATGAACTAGATTACTACGAAGAATATTAATTTAGTGAAAAGTAAATTTAATGTGTAAAGGACGGATGGTGTTGTGAAGCATTAAGAAATTAAAAATATAGGGAAGGCAAAGAACAAGAGATTTCACAGGAGAAGAGAGTTTAGAAGAAAAGAAAGTCCATTTAGCATGTGATTAGGCAGAGTTTATGAAATTGGATGGGTAGCCAGTTGAGACAGTGAGCTGGGAAGAGAAATTGAGGGTCTCAGATAGGAAGAGCATGGAGAAAGAGAAATAAGTGCTTTTCTTGACAGAGAGCATGGTAAGACAAGTAGTTGGTTTAGAAAGACACGTAAGCAAACACTGTAACATATTTATTAGAAAACGTTTCGGTCCTGGGACCTTGATCACTTCTTGGACCGAAACGTTTTCTAATAAATATGTTATAGTGTTTGCTTACGTGTCTTTCTAAACCAACTTGTCGGTATTTATTACCAAGGTTTATACCAAGAGAAGTAGTGAATGTATGTGCCACTGTGCATTGGCTTGCAATAAACAGATATTACATTTACTTTTAACCAGACTGATATCCTTTATAGTAAGCTACTGTAATTCATCTCTCTCCTGCCACTGATGCTTCTGGTGTCTACTCCATTTCCTGCTTTTGTCCTCTCCAGTACTTTGGAGAAACTGGCTGCTCTCTCTCTCTATGACAGAGAGCATGAAAGTAGTGTTAGCCTTGCCGACACTAACAGTGCTCTTTTCTGTCATTTTGGTGATCTGTCATCCTATTAACTGATCCTCTGCCAAAACTGTGTATCCTTCTAACCTTCACAGATGCCATCTTGTTAAAGCTTCCCTTATACACTACTACTAATGATCAGTGCTAAGTTCCTGCCAGCTATGTTGGTGAAAAGACATAAAGAAGTATTATACTAATGACATAACAGTGTTTTTATAAAGAGCTATGCTGTTTTGTGTTTTTTCATCCACTTGTTGGCTCATTGTCAGCAAGTGGATGGAAATTAAGTTTTTTATTGGGAGTTTTAGGTTAGGACTGTATTTGAATACTTCAGGAAAATTCTTTGTGAATCGTAAAGTTAGGTTAAGTTTTCAGTACTTCAGGGTATTGAATATGCCACCAGGATTGGCCAGTTCCGGCGACTAGTAGTTCTCGCGATAAGTTGTTCCTCTATTTCAAGCAAGAAAATTTACTGCATGACCTCACATGATTCTAAAGGTTCCTGCACACAAAAATTTGAGTAAATGTTTTAGTGCTGTTTACTGGGCCCATAGGAATCAGTTGGTTGAAAAACCAAGAACTTGACTTGTTTGAAAAATTATGAATTTGACTTATAAGTGTGTTATTCTTCAATTTGTCAGCTCTAAACACACCATAGAAAGGTAAATTTTTATCTTTTTTTGGTTATCTCTTCATAGTTATTTATTTGTACCTTACAATCTTGTAAGATTTTTTATTTAATGAAAAATTCTCATTAATACAGAGATGTTATTGGTATATTGTACTTGCCTCTATTTAAAGGGTTAAATGTACATACAACCTAGTAACTTAGTGATGAATACAGTCTCTCCTCACTTAACGATGGAGTTCCGTTACTAAGACCACATCAGTAAATGAATTTGTCGCTAATGAGGAGCATACTATAATGATAGTGAGTTTGTGTCAACCATCTTTGATATTGTTTTAATGTCACCTTTGCACCATTTATAACATTTCTGGTATATTTTTAAATGTTTATACAGTAGTGTACTGTATATTGTAATAAACAGAATAGAGGAAATCAGCTCTAATATGCGTACATTATTGAGGTATGCATACTGGTCAGAGAGCCTGTCATAAGTCTGAGTCGTCGGTAAACAAGTACGTCGCTAAGTGAGGAGGGGCTGTATTTTATACAATATATGATTTGCTTTACAGAATGTTTTATGTACGTACTTGTTTATTGTCTTCCCACACTATTTTCTTTTGAAAGAAACTAAATCCATTTTTAGTGGCTTTTCATTCTTCACTACATACATGTGATACATAGCAGGGATTTATATAATCTTGAATAGTAAAGGATGTGGTATTAAGCAAGTGTAAGCCAGGCAACTTATGTTATTTTTGTTTTGTATCTTTATGCTCTTTCTTCTTGATAATTGATTTTGTTCATTCTGTTTGAAATCAGGATTCTGTACTGAATATTTCTTTTGTCTTTCCATTGCAGCCACATGTAAAGTTAGCAGATGAAGCGATATGTGTAGGTACAGCTCAGGCTCGAGACTCTTACTTACGCATGGACCGAATACTAGAAGCAATTAAGCTCACTGGAGCCCAGGTTGGTTTTTTATACAGTCACAGTGCATATTGTGGATGGAAGGTCTTGTAGTGGGACTCCTAATTCTGCTTACAATTTTTTTTTTTATTTACAAATTCAGTTTTAAGAAAATTATAACATTTGAAGTGGTCAAATGAAAATTCTATAGTGAATTTCAGGCTTAATTGGGTCCTGGCACTTGTCATGGTTTTTTTTTCCTAGTTGTATTTTCCTATATAGGTCAGTGCTATATAGCCCTTGTGGCTTAGCACTTCTTTTTGATTATAATAATAATATATAGGTCAGTTTCCAGTGTGTAGGAAAATGCAGCCTCATCTTTTATGTCCATAATAACTGAGTAGCTGAGCAGATTATCAAGGATCCAAACACATACTGCTAAGAGTAATGAAGAAATGACTTGGACGAAGAGCATGTTTTTGTGAAAACATTTTGTTCTGTCTTGCTACTTCACGTACACTTAGGTCACACTACCATACATGTAAGGGTTTTTTTAACACACTCACTAGTTTTCTTTGATTTTATTTAATTTTTTATGTTTATTACTTTCCTTTTATATCCATGGGGGGGGAATAAGAATCTTTCCTCCGTAAGCCATGTTGTTGAAAAAAGTAAACTAAAACCCGGGAAAAAGGGGCTAGTAACCCCTTTTCCTGTAAAATTACTAAAAAAAATAATAAGGAAGAAAATTGTCAAAGGGGGAATCTAATGTGCGGGATTTTGTGCAAAATAAAAAGAGATGATTGTGGTGTTATGAATGAGAAAAATTGGATGCCCGGGTTTTAAGTGAAACAAAGCTAAAGGGGGGTGGGAGAGTTTCAATGGAGAGGAATAAATGGATTAGGTCAGGGGTTTCAAATAGAGTTAGAGCAAAAGAAGGAGTAGCAATAATGTTAAAGGGAAAAGCTATGGCAGGAAAAGAGGGACTACAAATTTTAAAAATTAAAGGTTTTTGTGGATAAAATAAAGTTTGGGATGTGAAAAGGGGTTTTTAAGTAAGCGGTTCCCTGGAAAGGGGAAAAAGTGTAGAGGAAAGAAGAGATTCTGGGAAATTTGAGTAATGCGTGGGGAGTTTTAATCAAGTTAGAGTAATGGGGGTTGGGGTTTTTCAATGCTAAAGTGGGTAAAAAGTTATGGGGGGAGTAGTAGGTAAATTTGGGGTGGGGGGGTAATGTAAAGGGGGAGCCTTTTAATTGAGCTATGTGTAAAAAAATTTTGGTAAAAAGTAATACATATTTTTAGAAAAAGAGGATAAAAAATATACAAGGTATGAGTAGCACTAAAAAAGTACGTATTTTTTAGATTAAAGGGGATTAAAGGTTATGGGTAGGCTCCAGGATGTACTGTTTATAGGGGGCAACTGAAAATCGGTCATTTTTTAGTTGTAGCTACATTTGGGAGTAAGAGTAGAGGGAAAAGGGGAAAAAGGGGGCAAAAAAGGGTAAGGGGGGAGGTGAAAGTGTAAAAACAAGGGGGGAGGAAGTTGGGGCGAATATAACGACTATTGGCAGAAAGGGGGGCTAGTGCAAAGATGAGTTTGGGGGGGTTGAAGGGGGTTTGGGAATATTTTTAAAAAAAAGCGTATTAAATTTGGGGGCAGAATTTGTGGATGGGAGGTGGGGGCAGGAGGAAAGAAGAGTGTTTGGGTGAATGATGAAGTAAAGGGGTGAAAAAGAGAAAAAGGTACTTATGAAGGTTTTTAAAAAGGGCAAAGTGTTATAAGAAGAGCAAGTATAGGAGATAAAAAAAAGGGTAAAGATGGTGAGAGAGGGCAAAAGGAGAGCAGATGATAGGTGGGAGAGGCACTGCAAGAAATTTTAATGAAAATAAAAAAAAATTTTGGAGGGATTTTAAAAAATTTAAAGAAACCAGGGAAATAGGATTTGTCAGTTAAAAACAAGTAGGGGAGTTAGTAGGGGGGAGGGGGAGGTATGGGTAGTTGGGGAAAATTTTGGGGAATTTTTAAATTTGAGGAAGAAAGGGGGCGGAATTTCATGCCCGGGCCCGGGGAGGTATACCTTTTTTTAGGAGTGAAGAAGAGAAATGTAAAAGTGTGGTGGAGGACGGAGGCATTACGTAAAATGAAAGGGGGTAAAGCAGCTGGAACTGATGGGATCATGACAAAATTTTAAAAAGGGGGGGGAATTAGTTTTGGGAGGGGTTGGTATTTTTTTTAAAATAAATGTATAAAGGGGGGAAGGTACCTGGGGGTTTGGTGGAGGCAGTAAGTCCCTTTTTATGAAAAGGGGGAAAGGGGACAAAAGAGATTGAAAAAATTATGAGGAATAATTTACTGAGAAACCAGGAAAAGTATCGGTAGGTTAAAATTTAAAAAGAATTAAGTAAGACAGAATGAAATTTGCATGAGCAGGGAGGCTTCAAAAGTGGGTGGGGGATGTGTGATAAAGGGGGTTTAATTGAAGCAAAATTTTGGAAATTTTTTTAAAAAAGGTGGGGAAGTTTTTATTGCATTTATGGTTTTAGAAAAGGCATATGAAGAGGGGGATAGGAGCAATTGGCGATGTGCAAGACGATATGGAAAGTGGAAGTTACTAAATGCTGAAAAGAGTTTATGAGGAATGAGGCTCAGGTTAGGGTGGTAAAAAGGGAAATACTTCCCGGTAAAAGTAGGTCTTAACAGGGATGTGTAATGTCACCAGGGTTGTTTAAAAATTTTTTATAGATGGGTTGTAAAAGAAAAATCTAGGGTGTTCGGAGGGGGGTGGGAAAAATTTTATTGGAATAAAATTAAAAAGGGAAATTTGACCAGTTGCTTTTTGTGATGATACTGTGCTTAGGGGAAAAATTCTAAAGAAAAATTGCAAGGTTAGGGGGATAGTTTGAGAAGTGTGAAAGGTAAAAATTTGAAAGGCCCATAGAAAAGAGTAAGGTGATGAGGGTAAAAAATTTGATTTAGATAAAAAAAAATTGAATTAAAATTGGGAGGAGGAGTAAAATTTTTTTTCAGATACTTGGGAGTTGATGGGGCGGATGGATTTAGAAGGATGGGGTTAATCTAAATTTGAGGGGAAAAAAGATGAGTTGTCGTTGAGGTATATGTGGATTAAAAAACGTTACTATGGAGGCAAAAAAGGAAATGTTGAAAGTATATAGTACCAACACTCTTATATGTTGTGAAAATTGGTGGTAAAATGCAGCAGGAGGAGAGGGTTTTGGAGGCAGTGGAGATGTCCTGCAAGGGGCAATGTTGGGGTTGTAAATATTTGCAGAAAATTCAGGATGGGGAAATTAGGAAAAGGGTGGAGTTAAAAGCATTGCAGAGGGCAAAAAGGGGGTTTTTGAGGGGGTTTGGTCATTTAGAGAGAATGGATAAAAGTAAAAATGGAAAGCTTTAAACTATGGGGGGAAGGAAAAGGGGGGGGGGTCGTCCTGAAAGGTTGGAAAAGGGGGTAAAGGGGGTTTTGGGGGCGGGGGGTTTGGGCTTCCACAAGTGTGCTGAGCAGTTAGATAGGAGTGAAGGAGCGAATGGTACTTGGGGCCTGAGATCGTTTGGGGTGTGGCAGGGGAAATTTAGTGAAGGATTCAGGGAAACCGGTTTTTTTCACAATCGGACTTGAGTCCCGGAAATGGGAAGTACAAGCCCCGACTTTTAAAGGAGGGGGTTTTGGGGTATTGGCGTTTGGGGGGATATGTTGTGTATCTTTATACGTTATGTTCTAAACTGTTTTTATTTTTGGAGCACCCTGCAAAAAAATGAATGTGTGAGTGTGGTGAAAGTGTTGAATGAGGAACGTCAGCTTGTTAAAGAATTAAAACATTACTGGACCCCCGCTTTTCGATCAGCCCCAATCCACCAAATTTTGTAAGGGTATTAAAGTAAAAGCGTTGTACGTGTATGTTTTGGGGGGCTGAAATGGGGCTAATCTACTTCACAAAATTTCCTTTTGGGAACAAATTTGTTCAGTACTGGGACCCGAACATACTTCTGGAATGAAATAAACGAAAAAAGGGGTCCACGTAATATAATTTATTTGAAAACCCTGGCCATTTCCCACCCAAGGCAGGGTGACCCCAAAAAAAAAACTTTCCACATTCATTTATCACCGCTTGTTTGAGGTAGCAAATGATAAATTCCCACTACTTTCAGCACACTCCCCCAATATTCAAAAAATCTAAACCACCACCGAAAAAAACCTACTTTTTTTGTACCTACTACATAAAAGAACACTTAACTGGGTATAAAACCCCCCCCTCAATGTCCCTTACCCAAACCCAAAGAACACTTGACCAAACCAAGGGACAGATCCTCTTTTTTTTTCCTCGTGTCCCCCTCACACTAGCAAAAAAAGCAAAGCACATAAAGGCCCAAAAATCTGGAAATTTTTTACCTGTGAAATAAAAGAAAAACTGTAATATTTCAAGCTCTTCTTAAATATCACTATCACCCACAGTAAATAAACGAATAATTGTACTCTAAAAGTATAACCTTGACCCCCACAAACTTTTTTTTTTTTTTTTAATTTCAATTTCCTGATAGAAAACTCCTTCTATTGAATGCAAGCAACTCACAAAAGCCATAGACCGACTTTGAAATATCATTGGTTAATTTGTTATTTTTTTATAAATTTTTACCACGAATATATCATTGTTATTAATCTTAAGTTAATTTTAAGCCCGCCCCTAATGCCCATACAAGGGGCTTTTTGGCTGTTACACTTAACCACTGTATTTCTTTTACAGCTATGTATCATGTCCAAATTAATAATAAATAAAATAAAAAATAAAACCCGTACAGAGTCACCTAAAAAGCAAAACTCTAACCCCCCCTTTAAGTGCGGAAAAAAATTGAAAAAAAAAAATCTAGGTCTTTTGTGTTGCAATCAAACATTATCAAGCACTTGCAACATTCAGAAACAGTAGAAATCCGGGAGATTTATTCAGTGAAATGACTCTTTTTTTTATATAAAAAATGACCTGGGTAAAACATAGTACACTATTGTATTAACATAACTGGTACTAGCTTTCACAACTGTAGGCCTAAAGAAAGGTAAATGAAAGTTATTTACTTACTTTTTTTATTTAAAACACTGGCCGATTCCCACCAAGGGAGGTGGGGCCCCAAAAAGAAAACTTTTCCCCTCTTCACTCCACACGTCTTCCCGAAGGGTTCTTTTCACTACAGTTTTTAAAATGCAACATTTAAAACCCCTCCTTTAGAGTGCAGGGACTGTACTTCCCCTCCCAGGGCTCAAGTCGGCCTGCCAGTTTTCCCGAACCCCTCATAAATGTACTTTGCTCACACTCCAACAGCACTCAAGATTAAAAACCATTTTTCTCCATTCCCCCTATCAAAAATGCTCAGATGCCAATGGAAGCCCAAACCCCTTGCAACAAAAACCAACTTTACCCCCCCCCTCCAACCTTTCCCAGGCCCACCCCTACTCCCCTTTCCTTTCCACTACAGCGATACCTCTTGAAGTCATTCTGTTTCGCTCCCTTCTCTACATGTCCCAACACCCAACTACTGCATTATATTCACACCCCACATTGCCCTTGACAGACATCTCCACGCCTCCACCTTCTCCTCGCTGCAACATTCATCACCCAGCTTTCCCCCATATAAAGCGTTTGGGTAAAACTATATCTCATTCATTTCCCTCTTTTTCCTCCAAGGACAAATTCTTTTTCTCCCCGACTCCTAATGCACCGCTCACCCCCTTTTCCCCACAATTCTATGATTCACCTCATCTTTTATAGACCCATCCCTGACACGCCCCTCCCCCAAAAATCGAAAACATTTACCTCCTATACTCTCTCCCCCCAAACTGGGTATCCAATCTTTCATCACCTAATTTTTTTTATCCCAAAACCTTAAATCTTTCCTGTATTCACTTTAAAATTTTTTTCTTTTGCATCCCTACCCTTCTTCACCAACCTTTGCAACTTTTCTTCAGAAACTCCCAAGAACCCCGTGTCATCAGCAAAAGAGCAAATTGACAACTCCCATTTTGTGTTCTTTTTTCTTTTAAATCCACCCCTCTTGCCAAGACCTCACATTTACTTTTCTTTCAACCCCATTATAAATATATTAAAAACCATGGTGACATCACATCCTTGTCTAAGGCCTCTTTTTCTGGAAATAATTTTCCCCCTTTCCTACATACTGTAACTTGAGCCTCACTTTCCTCGTAAAAATCTTTCACTGCTTTCGTAACCAACCCCCTACACCAACACCTGCAACATTCCACTTTTCCCCCCCATCCACCTTGTCATACCCTTTTTCCCAAAACCATAAATGCCCAAAAACCTCTTGAGCCCTTTTCTAAATACAGTGGGCCCCCGGTTTAAAGAAATTTTTTTTATTCCCGTAGTATGTTCAGGTGCCAGTACTGATCGAATTTTTTCCCATAAGGAATATTGTGAAGTAGATTAGTCCATTTCAGACCCCCAAACATACACGTACAAACGCACTTACATAAATACACTTACATAATTGGTCGCATTTGGAGGTGATCGTTAAGCGGGGGTCCACTGTACTGTTCACTTACATGTTTCACTGTAAATACCTGGTCCACACACTCCCTACCTTTCCTAAAGCCTCCTTGTTCATCTGCTATCCTATTCTCCATCTTACTCTTAATTCTTTCAATAATAACTCTACTATACACTTTACCAGATATACTCAACAGACTTATTTACTATCCTAATAAATTCAGTTGAATATCATAAACATGAGTAGTGAATGAGGAATAATACAGTAACGCTTCAACTTGGGATGTTAATGTTCTGAAAATTCATTTTGCTATACAAACCCATTTTTTAATTGGAGATGCATTCCTGATCAGTGATATTCAGTATTTAATTTAATTTAATTTTTAACTAAGAATATTTACCTGGTATTTTATATTCATCATTGTTCCTTTTCACTTACAAATAATATTAAATATTGTTTAATGAATCTATAGAGGGTGAAGGAGAGGTTAAAGAAAGGAAGGGGAGAGGGTATAGGTGAGTAGGTAGTGTGGGAAGGTAGTGGTGAGTGTATAAAGAGGGTGTGGTGTGAGGTCCCTTATTAGCAATTTAGTTTTAATTCAGTGAAAGTGTTTTCTTCTTTGTTGAGTCACCCTGCCTCGGTGGGAGTGTTATTTTGCATTTTTGGTGTCATTACTTTTAGAAAAAGATTCTCTAAATTTTAGTTTTTTTTTTGTTTTACATTGCAGCTCAATACTTTTAATTTAAAGGGTTGCAGCAGTGAAAGGGTTAAAAGAGGTACTGTAATGTTCAGAACTGACATGTAAGTATTCCTGCTTTGGTTCAGAAATTCTGAACACTGAAATATACTACATGTATTAAAAAAATGATTTTATAAGCTTAGTCCATTTGTTCATTTTTTTAGGCTATGTGCTTTATACCACTAGCATATAGAATCAAGTTTTTTCCCAGATTTGTTACAGGTGTATTGTGTTTGGTAGTGTAAATACCATTTTCTACCTTTATTTTTTTTTTTTTAGCATGTTGGACGTTTCCAACCGAGGCAGGGTGACCTTTATATTTATCTATATTTCTATTCCTACTTAGTTTTGTAAAATGCATTGTCAGGTATTTTATTTTCAAGTGTTTTTCTTTTAACTCTAGGCTGTCCATCCAGGATATGGATTCCTAAGTGAAAATGCCGAGTTTGTTCAAAAGCTGGAAGATTTAGGCGTTTCTTTCATTGGTCCAAATGCCAATGCTATCACAGGAATGGGTGACAAACTGGAATCAAAAAGACTTGCAATGGAAGCAGGTGTCAATACTATTCCAGGTACTGTATTTTGCATAAAGTTAAGCAATTATTAATTACCTTTGCTTATCTTTCTTTCAACTCACCGGCCGTATCCCACCGAGGCAGGGTGGTCCAAAAAGAAAAACAAAAGTTTCTCTTTTTAAATTTATTAATGTATACAGGAGAAGGGGTTACTAGCCCCTTGCTTCTGGCATTTTAGTCGCCTCTTACGACACACATGGCTTACGGAGGAAGAATTCTGTTCCACTTCCCCATGGAGAACCTTTGCTTATATTAGAATAAAATAATTATTAATTTTAACATTTTAAGGATTCTAGTTGTGGTACTGCATCAAAGATGTGCTTAACTCCTTTGGTGGTTTCTAGATAGTATGCCTACCCCATATGTTTCCCATATCTCCTGCTAGGGGAGTTGCTGGCCTAAGGCCTGTTTCAGAGAGTGCCCGCCAGAGGACTGGCACTGAGGACACTCCTTGTGGAAAGCTCTCAGCTTCATTTAGAGAGCAACTCCTCCTCTTTTATTCCTTGGGCACCCATCTTGGCTCTGGGCTATCTTCATCACATCCATCTGGAAGAACCCCCTGTGCTAATAAACTACAATCTACCCTACAAGCATTCAAGTATCCTGCATTGCTCTATACTTCTCGGCTACCACGGGCAAGGTGAAATGCCTATATGCCAGCTACCTTCAGCACACAACACAGGAATTACAGGGTCATTGTGTGCATGATTGGGGCAGTGAGTGAAGTGTTGTGTTCTATCTATGAACTTATGTAGAGGAGATGAAAGAAGTATTATATTGTTTGAAAACACAACATTCATATGGATATGGACACTTTCAAAGGAAATACAGGATTAGAGGTTGTGGGGTAATAAAACCAACGGTTGAAGGAGCAACTGCATAGTATGGGAAATTTCCAGATACTTCATTTGTCTTTAATTGTCAGAACCAAATGCTCTCTCTTCAGAAGTATTTTCAAATTAGGATGAGGAGCACCCTAAATGTGGGGACAGTACACTAATACATGTACTGACCATATCAGAGCCTAGGTGAGCATACTGGTAAACCATAAAAAAGCTTATGGCTCGAGATACCTAACCAAATGAGTACAAAACTACAAAACTTAGCTTAATTACACGGCATCCCAGATGCCGCCTTCACTCCATCTGTCTCCACGTGACTCTCCCAAGCCACGCTTACCCACTGACCAAAACACAGTTGGAATATAAATCCTGGCAGAATTTCCTTACATTTACAGTTTAAAGTACTTACAGTACCCCCAAATGCATAAAATTAAGCTTTACAATTATAACATTCATACTATTATGGCACACTTCTCTACTGTATATACATTACAGTGCATGCAAACCCGCATAAAAACCATATTTACCATTTAGAATTTTCATTTGAGATACAGCAGATTTTATTGGACAGATTTTTTTGCTGAAATCTTCATTTATTTACCAACTTTTTGGGGGCATTAAATGTTTTGCCAAATGCTACATGATGAAAAAACCTGATAAATTAAGTACGTGCAACATAGCTTTGCCTTGTGCATTGGGGAGACAACACATTACTTAAAAACAAAACTTAGAAATTTTTTGTTCAGTTTCAGAGGGAATAAGGGATGTTTTCTTGAGTGGGAAAATTTTTCCACCTTTGTATTAGTTTTTTCTGATTTCTTGGGTACCCTGCTTTTATCTGTTGAAAAGGGCCATTTTCTTTTTTCTTAGGTATTTTTTACTATTTTTCCCTACAATGTTTTGTCATTAAAATAATACCCCACCCCGGGGGCTTTTTTGGGGAGACAAAAATTATGCTGGGCCGGGGAACTATAGGGGTCATCTCAGATACTTTAATACACGGCTACATCCTAGGTTCTGCTTGGCTTTAGGTAAACGGATTTGTGTCCCTGACCCCTTGTTTTGGGTAGTCTTGGGGGGGTTTTTTTGAATTTTGGGTTTTTTAAAGAATTAAAGAGTAAGAGTTAGTCACTGACATTAGACAGTTCACAGACCCTTAGATTAGTAGGTTTGTCATAAGACAAAAAAAGTAAAACCATCGATGGTATTAGCATTCATGAGGGCCTGGTCAGCCCTTTCTTTGAGGCAGTGTTGAGACATGCCAACACCAAAAAGCATCCTGGGAACCTAGAAAAGTCTCCACTAATATTACGTGATCATTTGCCTGAATTTTTTTCAATGTGTTAATGATTTTTTTGCATACGGTCTCCTTGCCACACCACGAAATCTGTTGTTCAGGGCTTTCAGACTGTGAGGTACCCTTTTTTCGTGACTAGCCAGGAAAATCCCCAGACTTGAACCCCATTAAAAAACCCCTTGGGGTATGATGTAATTGGCACACCTCTAGCAAGACAAATAGAGTGATGATAGTAATATTTTTTTTCTTTTCCAGGGCACCCCGCCTTGGGAGACGAGGGGATTTTTTAAAAAAAATTATTA